GGAATAAATAGAGAAATAAAGAAGAGAAATTGAGACAAAATTGGAACACAAAGTATAGAGATTTTGAAGGAATATCGTATGGAAATTGGTGTAAATAATTATGTTTCAATGACATTTTCTACACTTTTTAATGAAAATCTACCCAAAATAGGGTTCAAAATTGCATTTAAAACCAAAAAATCGTCTAAAATTGTTTCAAATATGCTTGTTTTTGAGTTTTCTATTGAAATGTCAAGAGAAATCGTCCGAAATTTGTGTAAATTATTGCATTTCAATGACATTTTCCATGATTATGGACACTTTTCAATGAAAATCTACCCAAAATGGGGTTCAAATTTGCATTTAAACCCAAAAAATCGTCTAAAATTGTTTCAAATATGCTTGTTTCTGGGTTTTCTATTGAAATATCAAGAGAAATCGTCTAAAATTTGTGTAAATTATTGCATTTCAATAACATTTTCCATGATTTTGGACACTTTTTAATAAAAATCTACCCAAAATAGGGTTCAAATTTGCATTTAAAACCAAAAAATCGTCAAAAATTGTTTCAAATATGCTTGTTTCTGCGTTTTCTATTGAAATGTCAAGAGAAATCGTCCGAAATTTGTGTAAATTATTGCATTTCAATGAGATTTTCCATGATTTTGGACACTTTTCAATGAAAATCTACCCAAAATAGGGTTCAAATTTGCATTTAAAACCAAAAAATCGTCAAAAATTGTTTCAAATATGCTTGTTTCTGCGTTTTCTATTAAAATGTCAAGAGAAATCGTCCGAAATTTGTGTAAATTATTGCATTTCAATGACATTTTCCATGATTTTGGACACTTTTCAATGAAAATCTACCCAAAATAGGTTCAAATTTGCATTTAAAACCAAAAAATCGTATAAAATTGTTTCAAATATGCTTGTTTCTGGGTTTTCTAATGAAATATCAAGAGAAATCTTCCAAAATTTGTGTAAATTATTGCATTTCAATGACATTTTCCATGATTTTGGACACTTTTCAATGGAAATCTACCCAAAATAGGGTTCAAATTTGCATTTAAAACCAAAAAATCTTGTTTCAAATATGCTTGTTTCTGGGTTTTCTATTGAAATATCAAGAGAAATCGTCCGAAATTTGTGTAAATTATTGCATTTCAATGACATTTTCCATGATTTTGGACACTTTTCAATGAAAATCTACCCAAAATAGGGTTCAAATTTGCATTTAAAACCAAAAAATCGTCTAAAATTGTTTCAAATATGCTTGTTTCTGCGTTTTCTAATGAAATATCAACAGAAATCGTCCAAAATTTGTGTAAATTATTGCATTTCAATGACATTTTCCGTGATTTTGGACACTTTTCAATGAAAATCTACCCAAAATAGGGTTCAAAATTTGCATTTAAAACTAAAAAATCTTGTTTCAAATAATATGCTTGTTTCTGAGTTTTCTATTAAAATATCAAGAGAAATCGTCTGAAATTTGTGTAAATTATTGCATTTCAATGACATTTTCCATCATTTTGAACACTTTTCAATGGAAATCTACCCAAAGTGTTATGCCTTGCTGAAACTTATCCATATTTAAATCAAAACTTTACATTCGTTTAAAATTTGTATCTTTTGATGTGTTGCTCAAGTATTTATTGTAACTGATGACGTCAATACCTAACAAATCTGAAATACAAATTATTTGATGCGTTCAATAAGTATTCGGAACAAAGTTCTGCTCCAGAGCCGGTACAAAGACCAAATGAAAACCCCTGGTATTTCAGTAAGAAACCCCTCTAATGATAATTACAAGATTCGATATGGAAAAGTCAAAATTATAGGGATAGAAAAATAAAAAGGAAGGAGACAACCACCTGTGATGAGGGGTATAGAATGGAAGAGCAAAAGAGGGGCTGAACCATATTCCGCCACCGCCGGCCGACGATATTGATTTTCCCGAAGCAATGCAGATATGTCGGCCAGAGAGTAGCTACTACCATATAGTCAAAATTGAATTTTTCCTTCTAAAAATTTTCCACTCACAAAGTTTTATATTATTAGTATAAATTTTGCTTGGGTGGCGTCGCGACGCCCGCCTACTTACTTAGATTTTCTCAAAAAGTCAGTCAATTGTTATATACTTACTTGCCCAATTCTTCTTTGAGATCGTAATTGTCGCTGAATCGCGTACAAACTATTGGAACAGCCATTGCAGATTTTTTTCAAAAAAAAAAACACAATTAAGTAGGTTTTTTTTTCGCTTAATAAGAAAAGTACCGCGCACCCAAAAAAAGCCTACTACGACCAACAAACGTCACTCGAAGCCATTTTCAGTTTGCTGCAGGAAAATTAAAATTAAAACTAAAAAACCACCCGTTTGATTTTTTTGGATATATAAATATGCGTCAAAAAACGCGAGACCGTCCAATCGCCACCAGAGGCTCTCAGGATCGGGCCGGAATCGTTGTAAATGTTCGTCCACTCGCCACTCGGATCTATCTAACCTCCAAAAAGATCAATATTCGACTTCGCGTATACGCAATGTTTTAACCGAGGCCGTAGCAGTATAGCAGCAGGAGCGTCGTTGCCGAACTTTACAATCCTGCTGAGGACAAGAACCAAAAATCTCAGATAGTTATAATGCTCAGAAACTTCCACTGTTGACTTGGATTTAGACAAACTTGTAATTTGCAAGATTTCAGGGTCCTTATTCCTTCAGCAGCGTTCCCAGGAGAACGAGTGTTCCGCTTGGGGGATGAAGCCATCAAAGGCAATACATACACGGCACTGCAAGTACACACGTATACCTTTTGGCTTGAAAAATGCACCTGCTACATTTCAACCGTGCAATGTTCTTTTTTTGCAGTTTTTCTAGATTTTTCATTGATAAGACTTTGAAAGGTCATAACTTTTTTTATATTATAGATAGATGGCTGAAACTTTCACTGAATTTTATCCCTTCCAAGGGACTATAATCCCTGAGAATTTCAGCTCATTTGCACTTATAGTTCCTGAGATAAAATCGTATTAAGCAATTTGGGGTGATTTGTCAATTTTTCAATATTTCTGAGTGCCTTTTTTCATAGATTTCGGCTTCAATTCTGAGAATAATTTAGTGTATGGAGTTTGGGGGATGTTGATTGACCATTAGGATACAAAATCTCGACAGAAATTTTTTTGAAATTTCATCGTTTTAGTAAGAAGGTACCTACCTTATGATTTAGATTTTGGAAAACTTTGAAAGGTCATAACTTTTTTTCTATTATAGATAGAAACCTGAAACTTTCACTGAATTTTATCCCTTTCAGAGGACTATAATCCCTGAAAATTTCAGCTCATTTGCACTTATAGTTCCTGAGATAAAATCGTGTTAAGCAATTTGGGGTGATTTATCAATTTTTCAATATTTCTGAGTGCCTTTTTTCATAGATTTCGGCTTCAAATCTGAGAATAATTTAGTGTATGGAGTTTGGGGGATAGCTCATTTGTGCTTATATTTCCTGAGATAAAATCGTGTTAAGCAATTTGGGGTGATTTATCAATTTTTCAATTTTTCTGAGTGCCTTTTTTTCAAGCTGTTCAAAAACATATGTAGACTCAGAAATGACATAAACAATGCTACTCAGAGACTGCATTTTTTTCAAATACAATTTTAAAATTAACTACGGCAACAATGCTTTAAACTATCAGTGTTGTAGCAGGAAAACTGCGGTTCTCATTTCCGTTCTGTTTACCCGGAAAACTGCACACACAATTGAAAATATGATGGTCAGTTTTCAACTAATTTAATTATGTTTTTCTTTATATATTTTTCCTTGATTTAATTTAGAGTTTCTCAATGCGCATGCGCAACAGCAGGTTGCCATAGCAACGATATGTACGCGCCTCAATCTCTATTTGAAATTATCGTCCTCCTGCTGATGTTCCCTCGAGGGCGAAATTGTCCTTTGACGTCATCACTTGGAAATCTGATTAAATTATTTAATGTTTTTGACATCATATTGAAAGTTCATTTTAGGGCCGATTTCTCAATAGCGAGTCGACCCAGGGTTAAGCTCAACTTCAGGGTGAACATTGAAATTGGATCCTGGAGTTGCTATTGAGAAACTAAAAGCAAGAATTAATAGATAACTATTTCTGGTCTATTGGGCGAATGCAAAATTTACTAATTGTGAATGTACAAATTTATAGATGGCGCTACAATAGTCAGGTAGTACCAGTAAAAGTGCAAAGTTCAAGATTAATCCGGAAACAAAAAGATTGATTATCTCTCTAGTGGGTATAATCAATCAAGTTTACGTCCGGGCAGTCTGGATTCCGGAATTTTGCATTGAAATTTCAAGAGGCAAAATGTGGCGAAATAAAAAATATTGAGGGATTATATGTCTAGATAAAAATTGTATTGAATGCCATTGTGTGAATTATCTTGATTTGCTTGTAGAAACAATGTTTTTTGGAACAATATGTTTTGATTACAAATATAGAATTAAAGATTTTACTATACAAGATTATTGAGTTTCTAGTTACTAAGTATTTGACTTCATATTTGCAGCAAATATAAATCAAAACTTTCTCTATGGAGCTTTGCTTCAGATTCTGAGTGATTTCTAACTAAGCCCACACTGTTTTTCGGTAATTTCCGCAAAGATGTTCCAGGCTTTAAAATGACTCAAAATTTATAACTTGTAAGATAATTAATAAGGAAGTTGCGTATACGGGAAGAATTAAACTCTACTAGTCTTGAAACTCACTGTGGCCCCACGTTGGGCGCCAATTTGTAGGATAATGGTGTAGCAGGTTGACATCATACAGGGGACCAGCCGATCAGTGGCGTGGGGATAAGGTTATTTTGTTACAAATAATTAAATTGACTGAACACCCAATTAAGAGTTGGGAATAGACAAAAATTGACTTTTCAACCATTATAATTCTCTATTAAATCAAAAATAATTATATGGAAATAAGCAAGAAAGAATTAAACAATTTAATAGGCATGTGTATAATTTTATTCAAATATAAACTATAGAAATAAAAATAAAACAAAAAAATAAAAGCAGGAACAAAAAAAAATAAAACATAAATACATATAAATTTCGCAATTTCACTTAAACAACTAATATTGCACTGATAATGATGTATTGGAATAAGTACACAAAAATAATGGATAATACTAAATATTGGAATAAGAGATCTGATACAATAAAAAAATAAAATTAATCTTGCATTATAGTCAAACAAAATTCTCTTAATAAAGTGGTCCCAAAATAAAAATTGCCTTGTCAAAAGAGTTACTCTACAGTGACACTCTTGGCCAAATTCCTTGGACAATCCACGTTGCAACCTCGCCTAACCGCAATATGGAACGACAACAATTGCATCGGGATGACAGTCAAAATACCCTGTAGACAGTCAACAGTTTTGGGAACCTCCAAATATTGACTTGCCATGTCCATCGTTTCCTTATCGCCCTTTTCGCAAATGATTATTGGATTACCATCGCGCGATTTTACTTGTTGAAGAGCGTTCATGCATTTATTGTAGACAGGATCTCGCATCACTATCATCATTACAGGCATGTGGGTGTCAATAAGGGCCAAAGGACCATGTTTGAGTTCGCCTGCCATAATACCTTCACTGTGCATATAGGTTAGTTCTTTTACTTTCTGTAAAAATATATGTATAGAAATATTAATTGATTAATTGGGTTTTTTGTAACTTACCAAGGCCCCTTCTAAACAAGTAGCAAAATTGAATCCCCTGCCCATAATAAGCAAAGATTTTTTATTGTACAAATCTTCAGCTAAAGCTTTGACTCTGTCGTCCAGTTTAAGCACTTCGCGGATTTGTTCTTGCAAGTGCTTCAACGCCTCGATGATTTCTTCGCGGCGTTTTTTCAAGCTCAGCCTATCTTCGCTCATTACCAGCGCAAACATTACCAAAGATATGAACTGGCTGGTGTATGCTTTGGTTGAGGCAACGCCGATTTCGGGTCCAGCGTTGATGTGCACCCCACAGTGGGATTCACGACATATTGAGCTGCCCACTGTGTTGGTTATGCCTACTATTAAAGCGCCGCGTTGTTTGCAGTAGCGCAGCGCCATTAGGGTATCAGCGGTTTCACCTGGAATTTATTAGAAAATCAAAGTTTATTTCCACATTGTTTAATACGATGAAGGATAAGAATCAGAATTTCAGGGATTGTAGTCCCTTCATTGAGATAAAATTCAGTAAAAGTTTCAGCTATACATCTATAATAGAAAACAAGTTATGAACTGTCAAAGTTTTCCAAAATCTAAATCATAAGGTAAGTAGGTACCTTCCTACTAAAACGATGAAATTTCAAATTTCTTTCTATTGGGATTTTGTGTCCTAATGGTCAATTAACATCCCCCAAACTCCATACACTAAATTATTCTCAGATTTGGAACCGAAATCTATGAAAAAAGGCACTCAGAAAAATTGAAAAATTGATAAATCACCCCAAATTGCTTAACAGGATTTTATCTCAGGAACTATAAGTCCCAATGAGTTGAAATTTTCAGAGATTGTAGTCCCTTCATTGGGATAAAATACAGTGAAAGTTTCAGATTTCTATCTATAATAGAAAAAAAGTTATGACCTGTCAAAGTTTTCCAAAATTTAAATCATAAGGTGAAATGAAATTTCAAAAATTTTCTTGTCGAGATTTTGTATCCTAATGGTCAATCAACATCCCCCAAACTCCATGCACCAAATTATTCTCAGTATTTTCAGAAGTTGTCAAAGTTAAAGATGATTTTAATAGAAATTCAAGAGCCAAGAATAGATCAAATGTCGATTTTTAACGGCTCTTGATCTATACTGGGTGATTTTTCTAGAGGCAATCATAATCATGTCGAGAAATAATCATCAAAATTCGGACTACTGATCAACGATACATTCAAGGTTTACAGATTTCTATTGAGAGAAGATTCAATGAAAAATTCTCACCTGATTGTGAAATAAAGAAACACACATCGTCCCTAAACACAGGCGTAGTCCTGTCCAAAAAGTCACTAGCCAGTTCGACCATGACAGGCAATTCAGTAAGCTCCTCCAAAAGCTGACGTGTAGCAATCGCACTGTGATACGAAGTACCACATCCAATCAACATCAACCTCCTACATCTCTTGATTTCAGGAATATGTTCCTTGATTCCTCCCAAAGTAACCGATCTTGTTTCAAAGTTGACACGCCCTCTCATTGTGTTTACAACCGATTCTGGCTGTTCAAAAATTTCCTTTTGCATATAATAATCATAGTTGCCCTTCATGATTTGTTGCAACTCCATTTTTAAGGTGGTAATTTCGCGGTTGGTTGGATCATCTGATCCAACGCGTCTGAGCCTGTGGATGCTCAGAATACCATTTCTGACTGCAGCAATATCATCGTCCTAAGATAATAATTTATGAGTGAGTTATTATAGTCTGACTCAGCAGGTGCTTACCTCGAAATAAATGACACGATTGGTGTGCTCAATAATGGCAGAAGCATCTGAAGCAAAGAAATATTCCACTTGTTTGTCTTCTAAGGGTTCGAATTCAGTGGAACCTGTTCTTGGTAGGCTGGGGAATTCTGAGCGGCCATGAGGTCTATGATCTACAAAATAATTTGTTTAAGTTTGAGTTTTCTGAGGCCAGTTCTTATTGTCCAACACCTTTTAATACTTACCAGATAATTATTGCACCACATACCAATAAAGCTCTTTAAGAAAACACAATAATATAAAACAATAATTCAATCACCTATATAGAATTAGTAATAAGTAATTGCGAAAAAGCTTAAAAGCAAAAATTAATTAATTGTTATTCTGTGTAAAACAAATAATGTAACTACCTGGATCGGTTTCAGCGTCTGCTCGAGCAAGAAGGTCCCCAAGGAAAAATAAAAAAAAAAACAACAAAATATTAAAATACATAATACACACTAAAAAAAAAAATAACAATAATTAATCCAAAAGCTACAACTAACAAACAATTAAATATAATCAGTAAAAACAATAAAAATAATAATGTACCTTTGGGTGAGAGCGGAGGTTCGTCTATTTGCCATTAACAGTCCAGAGAAGGAAACAAAGTACCAAAACAAACATATGGTTAATAAAAAACAAACAAATAAATACAAAATTATAAAGCTAAAATAAAAACACACTAAAAATAAATAAATATATAACTAAAATGTGTATGTACAATGATTGGGTTAATAGGATTGATTAGTAAAATAAATGAAAATTATAAAGTTATTGGAAAACAAATCATGCTTGTTAGTCTACAACTGTAGATGAAAGCTTAGTTACCTTAAAAGAGGGTCCTTGTTCCAAAGTTTAATATATTTTTGCCCAACCTTAAGGGTTTGGTTTATTCACCTTCTAATAAACTCTCAGGTAATCAGGCAAGTTTATTTGAAGATGATTAAACCAGGCCTTGATCATACAAATTTAATATACCTTTTCCATACAAAATCGGAATGTGATCAGTTGCCAAGCGAGTTTTAGTCTTGATACCGACCAAAAGAGGCGAGCCCCTTCTTGTAGCCACACATTCTCCTTGGAAATGTTTAGATTTGAAGCAAAGGGCGAAAGCCCCTTCCAATTGCTGCACAACATTTTCTACAAGTTCTCTAAAGGAGAAATTCGGGTGGGTTTTGTAAAAGTGGAAAATCAATTTGGCAATGATTTCCGTGTCGGTTTCGCTCTCGAACCGGTAGCCTTTTTGTTCCAGGAAAAATTTGACTTCTTTGTAGTTGGTGATGATGCCGTTGTGGACCACCACAAAGGAGTTTTCAGTGTCTGACCTGAATAAGTTGATTATGAAATTTGGAAGTTTTGCAGGAGGACATTTTACCTGTGGGGATGGGAATTGACTTCGCTGGGTACACCGTGAGTGGCCCAACGGGTATGGGCGATGCCGCAATGAGTTTCAACGCAGCTTTTGATTTCCAGGGTGTCGCTTACTGGAAGAAATTTTGTTTATATTCCAACTAACCCAAAGTATGTGAGAATTTTTGGGTTTTTATTCAATTAAATTGACTTTCCAGGAACCTGTGAGCACCAATTCAAGACCAGAATGGCTCTTTATTCGTTGCACATTAAATATAATCAAGAACAGACAAATTTTGATTATTCCCGGCTCTTGATTATTGACTTCAATAGTCCAATGAGAAAATAGTGATAATAAAACTATCCTTGATTGAATTTCAAATAAACTGAAACGGAACAAGCAAATTTTTAGGTCAACTTCAAATTCCAATATTACGCAAATTGAAAAAAATATCAATGAGCGGTTTGCGAAAATTAACTTCTAAATTACGCAAATTACTCATTGATAACTTCTTTAGTTCGCATAATATTGGAATCCTAAGGTAAACTAAAAATTCGCTTGTTCCGTTTCATTTGTCCAGCAGTTTATTTGCTCTTCAAAACCCAATTCCTTCTTAGTTATTACTAAAATTCCACAGATAATTTTTCTAATTTGACTGAATAATTCCTTGCACCAAAAACGTTTTCAAGGTTTATTTTTTAAAAAATGACTCGCCAGATTCGAAATTCTTTTACCTTCTTTGATGGCCTGTTCCAAGAGCGCAACCTTTCCGGTTTTCTTGATCAGTGTAATGTCCTTTTCGTTGGCGGCATCAACGGCGACACCTATATAAAAGTGAAAGGTGCAAAATATATAATGCATTCCTCTCAAGAGTTTTATCGTTTTGTTGTTGTTTGCTAATTGTCAAAATACATAGTCTGATTGATGAAGGAGTTAATCCCTATAGAGTAAACAACAATTATTGCAGACAGATATTAATAATTTTAAAACAAATAATTATTTTCTCCCATTTCTACCTGCAGAATCGTAGCCACGATATTCCAATCGTTTCAGTCCGTTGACCAGCAATTCCAAAATTTCTGACCTCTTCTTTGGGGTGAGGTAGTTCAAGTATGCAAATATTCCTAAAAACAATACCAAAACAACCTTGATCCAAAAACACAAATTGCATATAGACAAAATAATGCTTAAAGCTTCTTCTTATTATATATGTCTTTTACTAGTTTCACTTTCGCTTTTTGAACTATGTATTGGTTATTCAATATTTGTGGCCTTGGCATTCTAAAAGAAGTGGATTTACTTCTTGCTTGGGTATTAAATATTTATTAAATTAACATTAACAATAGATTGAGTAAATATTTTACACTGAAATATTATTTGGCAATGTTTTTTTTTCAGGTTTTTCTATTTGATACCTATCAGGGTTGGCAAACAATTCTCTTTACTTTTTGGATTTTCGATGCGCAGGTCAGTTTTTGTACACCAGAGAGAAGAAATCATGGATAATTTCCACTGATTTCTTCTAAATACCAGTAAGATTGTCCAAAAGTTCTCTCTACAGTGTTTAAAATTTTTGAAAATAGGGCATTTGTTGCATCTATATAGAAATTGACTGATTTTAGGATTTCTTTTAAAATTTTCCCTGATTGCCTTAAATATCCTCCGATTTCCTCTTGATTTTTCCTAATCTATACACCAAATTTCCCTTGCGGTTTTGGTACCCCATGAATATTTCCACATAAATTACCACAAATAGGTAATAGCCTACGATAATTTTTTGAAATTGTTTCAAATTTTCTGTTATTTGAAGGCAACTGACATTTCATGTAATTCCATAAGAATTAACGAATATTAGATGTAATTCCATAGAAATTTTCTAGAACTGTTTTCAACATTCTACAAAAATGTTATCATATTTTTCGAAATTTCATCAATATTTCATGGTGATAATGTCATGTAATTTCTTAGATTTCTTTGAAATTCCATGCAATTTACCCAGAATTTCGACTAGAATTTCATGTATTCCTCAAAATTTCATGTAATTTTATAGAAATTCTTCAATTATATTGAAAAATTCCATGTACTTTCTTAAAATTGCATTGAAATTCCATTAAGATTCCATGTAATTTCGTGGATTTTTATTGAATTTTAAGAAATTCCCGACAAATCACATGAAATTTCAGTGCAATTCTGACGAAATACATGAAATATCAATAAAAATTCGAGAAGTTAGATGAAATTTAAGAGGAATATCAAGAAATTCCAGCAGAACCACATGAAATTCTAGTGAAATTCCGAGGAATAATATGAAATTTGAGTAAATAGTCAAAATGTAGAGACATGTAATATTTCAATCTACAGGGTGATTTTTAAATCAAGCCTCATAACAATTACTCTAAAATCAGATATTTCCTTCATAAGGTAGGTACCTACTTTCTTACTAAAACGATAAAATTTTTAAAAAAATTTGTTCAGATTTTATGTTCTAATGGTCATTTGGTATACCCCAAACTCCATACAATAAATTATCATCAGATTTCAAGCCAAAATCTATGAGAAAAGGCACTCAGAAAAATTGAAAAATTGATAAATCACCCCATATTGCTTAACACGATTTTATCTCAGGAACTATAAGTGTAAATGAGCTGAAATTTTCAGGAATTGTAGTCCTTTGAAAGGGATAAAATTCAGTGAAAGTTTCAGCTTTCTATCTATAATAGAAAAGAAGTTAGGACGTTTCAAAGTTTTTCAAAATCTAAATCATAAGGTCTTCTTACTAAAACGATGAAATTTCAATTTTTTTTTTGTTGAGATTTCGTGTCCTAATGATCATTTGGTATCCCCCAAACTCCATACACTAAATTATCCTCAGATTTCAAGCCAAAATCTATGAGAAAAGGCACTCAGAAAAATTGAAAAATTGATAAATCACCCCAAATTGCTTAACACAATTTTATCTCAAGTAATTTCAAAGTGGAATTCCGAGAAATTCAGTAAAAAAAGTAGGTACCTACCTTATGAAGGAAATATCTGATTTTAGAGTAATTGTTATAAGGCTTGATTTAAGAATCACCCTGTAGATTGAAATATTACGTCTTTACATTTTGACCATTTACTCAAATTTCATATTATTCCTCGGAATTTCACTAGAATTTCATGTGGTTCTGCTGGAATTTTTTGAAATTCCCCTTAAATTTCATCCAACTTCTCGAATTTTTATTGATATTTCATGTATTTCGTCAGAAGTGCATTGAAATTTCATGTAATTTGACGGAAATTTCTTAAAATTCAATAAAAATCCACGAAATTACATGGAATCTTAATGGAATTTCAATGCAATTTTAAGAAAGTAAGTACATGAAATTTTTTAATAAAATTGAAGAATTTCTATAAAATTACATGAAATTTTGAGGAATACATAAAATTCTAGTCGGAATTCTGGGTACATTGCATGGAATTTCAAAGAAATCTAAGAAACTACATGACATTATCACGAAAATCCCTAAAAAAAAAACATGAAATATTGATGAAATTCCGAAAAATATGATAACATTTTTGTAGAATTTTGAAAAATTTCAAGACAGTTCCAGAAAATTTCTATGGAATTACATCTAATATTCGTTAATTTTTATGAAATTACATGAAATGTCAGAGTTGCCTTCAAATAACAGAAAATTTCAATACAATTTCAAAAAATTACCAACATAAAATTTCAGTGGAATTGTTAACCAAGAGAATTGCATGAAATTCCGAAAAATTACACACACACAAGACTTTTTTCAAAATTTCACCATAAGTTTTCGTGAGATTCCTCAAAATTCCATCAAAAATTTCATAAAATGCTTCGAAACTTCACTAAAATTCCACTATAGGATTTCATTAAATTTTTCGATAAGATCTTATGGAATTCGTCAACATTTCACTAAATTTTCAAAGTATTCCATCAGAATCCAATAAATTCTTTGAGATTTTATGAAATTCCACGGGAATTTCACTTTGAGATTTCATAAAATTCTTTGGAATTCCACCAGTAAATTTCCTGAAACTGCTCAGAATTCCACGAAAACTTCAACTTTTCTTTTATGAAAATTCAGCGTAAATTCTTGTTCAGAATTCCATTGAAATTTGAATATTCTAAGACAATTTCTCGGAATTCCACTTTGAAATTACTTGAAACCTTATAGTTCTTGAGATAAAATCGTGTTGAGCAGTTTGGGGTGATTTATCAATTTTTCAATTTTTCTGAGTGCCTTTTCTCATAGATTTTGGCTTGAAATCTGAGGATAATTTAGTGTATGGAGTTTGGGGGATACCTAATGATCATTAGAACACAAAATCTCAACAAAATTTTTTTTTGAAATTTCATCGTTTTAGTAAGAAGGTACCTACTTTATGATTTAGATTTTGGAAAACTTTGAAATGTCATAACTTTTTTTCTATTATAGATAGAAAGCTGAAACTTTCACTGAATTTTAGCCCAATCAAGGGACTACAATTCCTGAAAATTTCAACTCATTTACACTTATAGTTTCTGAGATAAAATCGTGTTTTAAGCAATTTTGGGTGATTTATCAATTTTTCAATTTTTCTGAGTGCCTTTTCTCATAGATTTTGGCTTGAAATCTGAGGATAATTTAGTGTATGGAGTTTGGGGGATACCTAATGATCATTAGAACACAAAATCTCAACAAAAAAATTTTTGAAATTTCATCGTTTTAGTAAGAAGGTACCTACTTTATGATTTAGATTTTGGAAAACTTTGAAATGTCATAACTTTTTTTCTATTATAGATAGAAAGCTGAAACTTTCACTGAATTTTAGCCCAATCAAGGGATTACAATTCCTGAAAATTTCAACTCATTTACACTTATAGTTTCTGAGATAAAATCGTGTTTTAAGCAATTTTGGGTGATTTATCAATTTTTCAATTTTTCTGAGTGCCTTTTCTCATAGATTTTGGCTTGAAATCTGAAGATAATTTAGTGTATGGAGTTTGGGAGATACCTAATGATCATTAGAACACAAAATCTCAACAAAAAAATTTTTGAAATTTCATCGTTTTAGTAAGAAGTTTACTTTATGATTTAGATTTTGGAAAATTTTGAAATGTCATAACTTTTTCTCTATTATAGATAGAAAGCTGAAACTTTCACTGAATTTTAGCCCAATCAAGGGACTACAATTCCTGAAAATTTCAACTCATTTACACTTATAGTTTCTGAGATAAAATCGTGTTTTAAGCAATTTTGGGTGATTTATCAATTTTTCAATTTTTCTGAGTGCCTTTTCTCATAGATTTTGGCTTGAAATCTGAGGATAATTTAGTGTATGGAGTTTGGGGGATACCTAATGATCATTAGAACACAAAATCTCAACAAAAAATTTTTTTGAAATTTCATCGTTTTAGTAAGAAGTTTACTTTATGATTTAGATTTTGGAAAACTTTGAAATGTCATAACTTTTTTTCTATTATAGATAGAAAGCTGAAACTCTCACTGAATTTTAGCCCAATCAAGGGACTACAATTCCTGAAAATTTCAACTCATTTACACTTATAGTTTCTGAGATAAAATCGTGTTTTAAGCAATTTTGGGTGATTTATCAATTTTTCAATTTTTCTGAGTGCCTTTTCTCATAGATTTTGGCTTGAAATCTGAGGATAATTTAGTGTATGGAGTTTGGGGGATACCTAATGATCATTAGAACACAAAATCTCAACAAAAAAATTTTTGAAATTTCATCGTTTTAGTAAGAAGTTTACTTTATGATTTAGATTTTGGAAAATTTTGAAATGTCATAACTTTTTCTCTATTATAGATAGAAAGCTGAAACTTTCACTGAATTTTAGCCCAATCAAGGGACTACAATTCCTGAAAATTTCAACTCATTTACACTTATAGTTTCTGAGATAAAATCGTGTTTTAAGCAATTTTGGGTGATTTATCAATTTTTCAATTTTTCTGAGTGCCTTTTCTCATAGATTTTGGCTTGAAATCTGAAGATAATTTAGTGTATGGAGTTTGGGGGATACCTAATGATCATTAGAACACAAAATCTCAACAAAAAAATTTTTGAAATTTCATCGTTTTAGTAAGAAGGTACCTACTTTATGATTTAGATTTTGGAAAACTTTGAAATGTCATAACTTTTTTTCTATTATAGATAGAAAGCTGAAACTCTCACTGAATTTTAGCCCAATCAAGGGACTACAATTCCTGAAAATTTCAACTCATTTACACTTATAGTTTCTGAGATAAAATCGTGTTTTAAGCAATTTTGGGTGATTTATCAATTTTTCAATTTTTCTGAGTGCCTTTTCTCATAGATTTTGGCTTGAAATCTGAGGATAATTTAGTGTATGGAGTTTGGGGGATACCTAATGATCATTAGAACACAAAATCTCAACAAAATTTTTTTTGAAATTTCATCGTTTTAGTAAGAAGGTACCTACTTTATATTTCATCGTTTTAGTAAGAAGTTTACTTTATGATTTAGATTTTGGAAAACTTTGAAATGTCATAACTTTTTCTCTATTATAGATAGAAAGCTGAAACTTTCACTGAATTTTAGCCCAATCAAGGGACTACAATTCCTGAGAATTTCAACTCATTTACACTTATAGTTTCTGAGATAAAATCGTGTTTTAAGCAATTTTGGGTGATTTATCAATTTTTCAATTTTTCTGAGTGCCTTTTCTCATAGATTTTGGCTTGAAATCTGAGGATAATTTAGTGTATGGAGTTTGGGGGATACCTAATGATCATTAGAACACAAAATCTCAACAAAAATTTTTTTGACATTTTTTTGGATTTTGGAAAACTTTGACAAGTCATAACTTTTTTTCTATTATAGATAGAAAGCTGAAACTTTCACTGAATTTTAGCCTAATCAAGGGACTACAATTCCTGAAAATTTTAGCTCATTAACACTTATAGTTCCTGTAAATATATCAATTTTCAATTTTTTTGAGTGCCTCTTCTCATAAATTTCGGGCTCAAATCTCAGGATAATTTAGTAGGTATATGGGGTCTGGGGAGTTTTTAATTTTGAATTCATTTTCTTGATGAAAATCATAATATAAATCTCATCATCAGTATAGGTCTTTTTTAGCTTTATTAACCAATATTTGAAAACTTTTCATCAAAAATAACTTGATACAGTGAAATTTCAAATCTTGATAATAATATTCTGATTGAAGTATTATTTTAAATAAATTCTGAAAAACATACAATGTGGATTAACTCTCTCCTAATCTCACTTGACTGATTAAATTATTATTTGAAAAATTAACTATGCCCTTGAATAATTCATAATCCAGTTCACCCTGACAAAAAAAAAAAAAAAGTAACAAGGAAATGTGTGAGGAGGAACCTTCTATAGGTATACAGGGTGTGGCAATAATGCACCTACCTACATATTTCCTGTTAGAATTATTGTTTCAAATTTGTTTAATAAGTTTCACAGCTAATCAATGAAACTACCATACAATCTATTGTTGTAAAGATTAAATTGTTGGAAAAATAAGAAAATCCAATAACAAATAAATACCTTAAATAATCAAACTTTGTAAATTTGCTTATAATGCAAAATTAACAAAAAGATACGATTGTTCTTTGGAATTAATTTATTATTTAAAAGATTAAATTCAGGCCATAGTCTATTTTTTTCTGGGCCCATAACTTTCACTTTTGCAATGTTGTGGGCCCGGATTTTTCAATGGTTACAATAAAAACCTGTATTAGTTATTGCATCATAAGAAATATAAAAGGGGCATTAATTAGGGAAAAACATATTGGTGAATGCCATGTCAACAAAAATATTCAAAAAACTAAAGTGAGGTTAACTTAAAAAAAAAAAAACTAATTGATTGTTTAATTATTTATAGTACTTACCACACATAATTAACCGGAAAATTAATTATTAATTTACAAACAATCGCGCTCAAAACAAACTTGTACTAAAATTGATATTTTAAATTTTCCCCTTTTTATATGTGTTGTAAACGCAACCACTTTTAGCTGTCATTTTTATTTTGTTGCAACGTTGCCAGATTTGTTTATTAGTAGTGAGTGTTTTGACTCAAAAATAGTTAAGTTTTGCTATTAAAATGTGTTTGTTTTATTAAATGGGTTTGTAAAAGTTATAATTTGTAAAATAGGGTGTGTAGATGTAAGTGGCGGCATCTAGTAGGAGGATAAGTTGAAATTGAATATGGTTCGCCATATTGTCAAGAAGGATTTTTTAATTTTCCTGATAATATTAGAGTTCAAAATCTAATAATAAATCAGTGATGCTAGGTCTGGTGAAATTTCACCAGATCTGGTGATTTTATGAAAAATCTGGTGATTGGTGAAAAATGGCAATTTCTGGTGATTTTGAAATTTCATCAATTTTGAATATTTTTAACAATGATGAACATCCCTGGTAATTAATTAAAATTTTACTTCATTAACATACAAATTTAATTTGTTTGACAGAAAACCCATAAGTGGTGTATAAAGTCCTTTGATTTTTATATAAATTTGTACCTATTTGTCTTTTTGATATATTTATATATGTTTCCCTTTTTATATTTCAATGTCTGTTTATTTCAGGCTCTTGATGCTATTGGCCGGTTATTTTTCAAGTTGGCAACATGTATTTTGTTTGGCCAGTGGCGTTGCTTATGGGGAATTTCAGTCAAACCAATCGAAAACTCGAAATTTTTATTTTTCATATTTTCGAAATTTTCACTTTTCCAATTAATTCAGCGGGTTTAAATTAATCGAAAAAAAAATCTAACATCACTTTTAAAATGGCGATTTCAAAAAGCTAAAAAATATCAACTTTTGTTCTGGAATTTTTTTAAAATCTTGACAAGGTTACTGGTTAGGAATAATGGCCAATATTGTCACAACTGCCCGCTTTACGGGGGTGACATGGGGGGTTTGTAGCTTTGGAGGTTGATAAAGATAAACTCGCTCAAGTAATATAAAAGTGTAGATATTGTCAACTAGCTGCTTAGGAAAGGAGGACCCGGTATTCAACCTTATTAATTTAATTGCCGTTCGATCGAATGTTTATTGCAATTCAGCAATAAATTAATATAAATTGCGCTGCAAGCCGCAGAATAGACAGACTTAAACCAGTGCAAGTACCTCTCGTTGGAAAAGCCCCTCTGGAATTATGTCTCCCCAGTGCAAGTACCTCTCGTTGGGAACGCCCCTCTGGGTATCTTCAGCCTTATCGTTGTCCAGTGCAATTACCTCTCGTGGGGAACGCCCCTCTGGACAAGGCATAAGGGTGACGATAAACTAATCTACAGTCCCCCAAGCAGCATTGACGTGTGACTAAGGACCCTGTTATGTTTTACCAGTTTATAAAAATACCTATTGTTTGCCCAGGGTCGATTAAAAGGATGCGAATACACTCAGTGCGCACTGAATTTACCAATCGGAAACGCCATTAGTCTTTTGTTTTTTTTGTCCACCCTATCTGAAACTTGGAAACCAACCCTACAGTATGTTTTTTTATTTATTTGAATAACTTCAAAAATAAGGAAATTATGACAGGTTGAAACGTTATCAAGATAAAATGACCACACTGTACATTTTGAATTCAAAAATTGAAAAAAAATTACAGAACTATCAAAACCTGTCATTTGTTTTAGTAGAAAATAATACTCTAATCTGGTTCTTTTTTGTTTCAAGGTAATTTATTGGTAATAAAACATTAAACAAAGTTCATGCATGTTACATTTTGACAACTGTCAGAACCTGTTAATAGCTTTTTGCTTCATATTGATGACGTTTCAGATTGGTAGATCAAGTGCAGAACTTGTGCAATGTTTTTTATTTCTGTCTTTTTCTTCTACAGGTTAATTAAAAGGATGCAAATTAACTCAGTGCGCGTTGAAACTACCAATCGGAAACGCCATGAGTTTGTTTGCTTAGTGAACTTCTACAATGGGCATAAAATTGGTTTAGTTCTATTGTATTATTGTATTATTCTATCATTCTAGTTGTAGAACTTCACTAAGCAAATAAACTGAATATGAACCGAAAAGCTATTAACAGATTCTGACAGTTGTCAAAATGTGACATGCATGGACTTTGTTAAATGTTTTATCATCAATAAACTATCTTGAAACAAAAAAGAACCAGATTAGAGTATTTTTTTCTACTAAAACAAATGACAGGTTTTGACAGTTCTGTCTTTTTTTTTTTTCAATTTTTGAATTCAGAATTTACATACAAGTTAAAAATGTCAAATGGAAAATTGGAAAAGATGAGTGCTGCCGTTTGACAGGGTTTTGACAGGTGTCAAAATGGTTGACATTTTTCGACTTAACTTGGTCGACCTAGTGGAAATAGATTTTTTGTCCATCAAAATCTGCCATAGTTACTCTGCTTTTGGATATAGGATTCCAATTTTTGACAGCGAACCACGCCTCATCTGTCATATATACTGTTCTGAAATCTGTGGGGCAAATCATAGATCACGGTTGTGCCCATGGTAAAAAATGCACTAAGTTTAACTCTGTTTACTCGTACTACTGATTGTTTTCGGTGTAAGTAGAGTAAAATTATTTGCACTCAGGTAACAAGAAAAAAATAAACGGAGTAGACTTTCAGAGCTCGAGTCATTTTAAATAGAATTCTATTTATTACGCCTATCATATCATTTGACAAATATTTCCACCACCTGTTACCGGTTTAACTCTCAGGGCAGGGGTAACTTGAATTTATAAAACCGAGCATTAATGAATTTTCATTTAAAATAGAATTCTATTTATCGTGTTTCAAGTTATTTTCAATTCCAATAGTAAAATAGAACATTTGGAGGAAAATTTTTCTACTCCGATTCAGTGTGATCTTGGTTGAATGCACTTACCATAATTACTCTAACACAAAACAATCAATAAATCTTGACATTTTCTTTTGCTCTGATCTTAAAAACACAGTTGTGCTTACTCCGAAGACAAAACTGTCTTCAGTTTTATGTGAATTGGCACGTTAAGAATGTACTCTTTCTACCCGAACAGTAAAAATTTCAATTTTTCTACTCCGAATACCAATTTCAAACCTGTGGAGTAAAACAAAGTGTAATTCCGGATTGCCGCAATTTTTTTCTATTTCGCTCTAAAAATACTGTTCCGACTTTCCTCTAAAATGTCATAGTCGACTCCAGTGCAATCTAGTTATGGACATTTTTATTGCTCTGAGTCGCATTTTTCACTCTAAAGACATTGTTTTTACTTTTAAGTGTAATGAAAATTTTGGAGTACACTCTTATTGCCTCTAACTCTGGATCCCGTGTAGGTTCTTTTATGTTTAAATTAAATCGAATAACGTTAAACAGTTACTCCATTGAGTCTGTTATCGTTTTAGTGCATTAAATTTAGCTCGTACTACTATTTTTAGAGTAAATAAAAATAGGGTAGGATTATTCATTGGAAAGTTGTATTTATTTCACTCCCTATACTTAAACCTGTATGTTATTACATCAGCTGGGTTCGGCTATTCAGCGCGGAGTTGGAGTGGAGTGAACAGAGTTAATGGAGTCACCCCTAATACGATGAAAAGCAATACCCGAACGGCTGGAGTGCGAGTGGAGTCACTCGGAGTGAGCAAGCCGAACCCACCATTTATTTGCAAAATTTGGAGTTCTCTGAATAAGCAAATCAATCAAGGTTTTTTTGACTCTTTTGGAGTAAATAGAGTGAGAAGTTCGATTATTGAAGAGTAAAAAGAGTAGATTCTAAAAGTTCTATAACAAATTAAAATTTCAGAATCGATTCAGAGTACTAATGTTTGCTCGATCGTGAACGAACGAGTTCGGAACAAATCTTAGAACAATTAATGTGCCCCAGTACAGTTCAGTTTAGTTTATTCCGAATTAGAAATCACTTTATTGTTGCCTCTGAAACACTTATTCTAGATCCAGTGTAGGTTTTTTTATTTTCGAAATGATTCGAGCAACGTTAATAGTTACACCGTTCGGTCTGAAATTCTCATTTTAATGCACTAAGTTTAACTCTGTTTACTCGTATTACTGATTGTTTTCGGTGTAAGTAAAGTAAAATTATTTGCACTCAGGTAACAAGAGAAAAATAAACGGAGTAGACTTTCAGAGCTCGAGTCACTTTAAATAGAATTCTATTTATCGTGTTTCAAGTTATTTTCAATTCCAATAGTAAATTAGAACATTTGGAGGAAAATTATTCTACTCCGATTCAGTGTGATCTCGGTTGAATGCACTTACCATCATCATAAAAACACAGTTGTGCTTACTCCAAAGACAAAACTGTCTTCAGTTTTACGTGAATTGGCACGTTAAGAATGTACTCTTTCTACCCGAACAGTAAAAATTTCAATTTTCCTACTCCTAATACCAATTTCAAACCTGTGGAGTAAAACAAAGTGTAATTCCGGATTGCCGCAATTTTTTTCTATTTCGCTCTAAAAATACTGTTCCGACTTTCTTCTAAAATGTCATAGTCAACTCCAGTGCAATCTAGTTATGGACATTTTTATTGCTCTGAGTCGCATTTTTCGCTCTAAAGACATTGTTTTGACTTTACTTTTAAGTGAAATGAAAATTTTGGAGTACACTCTTATTGCCTCTAACTCTGGATCCCGTGTAGGTTCTTTTATGTTTAAATTAAATCGAATAACGTTAAACAGTTACTCCATTGAGTCTGTTATCGTTTTAGTGCATTAAATTTAGCTCGTACTACTATTTTTAGAGTAAATAGAAATAGGGTAGGATTATTCATTGGAAAGTTGTATTTATTTCACTCCCTATACTTAAACCTGTATGTTATTACATCAGCTGGGTTCGGCTATTCAGCGCGGAATTGGAGTGGAGTGAATAGAGCTTGTAGAGTCACCCCTAATACGATAAAAAGCAATACCCGAACGGCTGGAGTGCGAGTGGAGTCACTCGGAGTGAGCAAGCCGAACCCACCTTTTACTTGCAAAATTTGGAGTTCTCTGAGTGAGCAAATCGATCAAGCTTTTTTTGACTCTTTTGGAGTGAATACAGTGAGGCGTTCGATTATTGAAGAGTAAAAAGAGTAGATTCTAAAAGTTCTATAACAAATTAAAATTTCAGAATCGATTCAGAGTACTAATGTTTGCTCGATCGTGAACGAACGAGTTCGGAACAAATCTTAGAACAATTAATGTGCCCCAGTACAGTTCAGTTTAGTTTATTCCGAATTAGAAATCACTTTATTGTTGCCTCTGAAACACTAATTCTAGATCCAGTGTAGTTTTTTTTTATTTTCGAAATAATTCGAGCAACGTTAATAGTTACACCGTTCGGTCTGAGATTCTCATTTCAATGCACTAAGTTTAACTCTGTTTACTCGTACTACTGATTGTTTTCGGTGTAAGAAGAGTAAAATTATTTGCACTCAGGTATCAAGAGAAAAATAAACGGAGTAGACTTTCAGAGCTCGAGTCACTTTAAATAGAATTCTATTTATCGTGTTTCAAGTTATTTTCAATTCCAATAGTAAAATAGAACATTTGGAGGAAAATTTTTCTACTCCGATTCAGTGTGATCTTGGTTGAATGCACTTACCATAATTACTCTAACACAAAACAATCAATAAATCTTGATATTTTCTTTTGCTCTGATCTTAAAAACACAGTTGTGCTTACTCCGTCTTCAGTTTTATGTGGATTCGCACGTTAAGAATGTACTCTTTCTACCCGAACGGTGAAAATTTTCCTACTCCGAATATCAATTTCGAGCCTGTGGAGTAAAACAAAATATAATTCCGGATTGCCGCAATTTTTTTCTATTTCGCTCTAAAAATACTGTTCCGACTTTCCTCTAAAATGTCATAGTCGACTCCAGTGCAATCTAGTTATGGACATTTTTATTGCTCTGAGTCGCATTTTTCACTCTAAAGACATTGTTTTTACTTTTAAGTGAAATGAAAATTTTGGAGTACACTCTTATTGCCTCTAACTCTGGATCCCGTGTAGGTTCTTTTATGTTTAAATTAAATCGAATAACGTTAAATAATTACTCAATTGGGTCTGTTATCATTTTAGTGCATTAAATTTAGCTCGTACTACTATTTTTAGAGTAAAAAGAAATAGGGTAGGTTTATTCATTGGAAAGTTGTATTTATTTCACTCCCTATACTTAAATCTGTATGTTATTACATCAGCTGGGTTCGGCTATTCAACGCGGAGTTGGAGTGGAGTGAACAGAGCTTATAGAGTCACCCCTAATACGATAAAAAGCAATACCCGAACGGCTGGAGTGCGAATGGAGTCACTCGGAGTGACCAAGCCGAACCCACCTTTTATTTGCAAAATTTGGAGTTCTCTGAGTAAGCAAATCGATCAAGGTTTTTTGACTCTTTTGGAGTAAATAGAGTAAGAAGTTCGATTATTGAAATGTAAAAAGAGTAGATTCTAAAAGTTCTATATCAAATTAAAATTTCAGAATCGATTCAGAGTACTAATGTTTGCTCGATCGTGAACGAACAACTTCGGAACAAATCTTAGAACAATTAATATGCCCCAGTTCAGTTCAGTTTAGTTTGAAACAACAATTGGGATTCTAAAATGATCTGGAACTGGTTCTAAATTAATTAATAATGTGATTTAGGACACTTATTAAGGATTCTCGTGCACGGTATGCGGCTAATAAAAATTTAGTTCATAATTTTTTCTAGTTCGGAACAGCAATCAAAATTCTCGGAATTCTAAAAATCAATTCAAAAATAATCAGAGTTGGTATCAAATTCCACTAAAATTCTATTTTCATGACGTCAGATTGCCTAGCAACCATCATCATCACCTGTAGTATACGCGATAAATAGGTCGCGAGTGGCGTCATGCAAGTAGAATTCTATTTGTTGTGATCTTAACTCTGGAACCAATGAACTATAGTAAGTTCAATGGGCTCTAGAATATTTATTGTACACCGTATACGAATGATATTTATTTAGAACCGGTTTTAAATGAACTGCGAATAAAAAAGAGTAAGTTCGATGTGTTAGGGCTTCATTTTAGGATTTTTTGATCGTGAACTAATTCGGAACAGGTCTTTGGAACACAAAAAACTATTTGCAACTGATTCTAATTAAACTTTATACAGTTTGAAACCGGTTCTAATTGAACTACGAACAAAAAATCGAGTAAGTTCAATGTATGTTCTAGGACAGTAATTCAGGATTTTTTTATTGTGATCTAGTTCAGGGCTTTATTGACAGTAATTGAGGTTTTAGAACAGATTTGTAAAATAGAATTCTCTTTTAACAGTGAGAAGTGACGTAACTAAAATGGAATTCTATTTATCGTTGCAGGTGTTTGCATTATGGGATTTTGTAGGTTATGTTTGTGGATTTTCCAGAAGAGATTTCGTTCCAATCGTCCAGTTGTGCTTACTCCGAAGACAAAACTGTCTTCAGTTTTATGTGAATTCGTACGTTAAGAATGTACTTTTTCTACCCGAACGGTAAAAATTTTCCTACTCCGAATATCAATTTCGAGCCTGTGGGGTAAAACAAAGTATAATTCCGGATTGTCGCAATTTTTTCTGTTTCACTTTAAAAATACTGTTCCGACTTTACTCTAAAATGTCATAGTCGACTCCAGTGCAATCTAGTTATGGACATTTTTATTGCTCTGAGTCGCATTTTTCACTCTAAAGACATTGTTTTGACTTTACTTTTAAGTGAAATGAAACGTTTGGAGTACACTCTTATTGCCTCTGAAACTCTAACTCTGAATCCAGTGTAGGTTTTTTTATGTTTAAATTAAATCGAATAACGTTAATCAGTTACTCCATTGAGTCTGTTATCGTTTTAGTGCATTAAATTTAGCTCGTACTACTATTTTTAGAGTAAAAAGAAATAGGGTAGGTTTATTTATTGAAAAGTTGTATTTATTTCACTCCCTATACTTAAACCTGTATGTAATAAACATAAGCTGGGTTCGGCTATACAGCGCGGAGTTGGAGTGGAGTGAACAGAGCTAATGGAGTCACCCGTAATACAGTAAAAAGCAATACCCGAACGGCTGCAGTGCGAATGGTCAGATTTTTCTAAATTACATTGAAATATCGAAAATTGGAATTCTGTTATGTTATTTGTGAATTATATTATTTCAATTAGAAATCAGGAATAAAAAATTGAGATTGAATTTTCAATTTTTTGGGGAGGTTTAGCCTCCCCTGCCTCCTCTGACGAGCCGCCACTGGTTGCAGCACCCCTCAAATTTGGAGCCAGTTGCGCTTATGATACTCCACAACTGTCAAAAATCGGAGCTTGAGCCATAGGCGCTGGAACCATGGGGGCAATGGGGGCTTGAACCTCCGTAGTAAATTTGCTAAGGGGGCGGAGCCCCCATATTTATTTTGGCATTATATGTAGTGGGTGTAGTGAGTAGGTACATAAATATTGAGTTCCTGGGACGCTGTCAGTATTTTACTGCCTTAGATTTAGCTAGCGGCTTCCACCAGATCTAGACAATGACATCGAAAAACTGGAATTATGAGTTCTGACGCATGCCCTTTGGTTTGAAGAACGCGCCGGCTACATTCCAAAGAGTTATGGATGATATTCTATATCTCAATATATTGAGCAACTTTAACACGGAAAGATGGAACATCCCATCAATAATAGTTATTCGTTATAGATACAAGGGAAAAAAGTATTAGATTTTAGAGCGAGATGTGGTTTGCCTTCCGTCGCGAAGCGGAGGGAGACAACAACAAGTTTTTACTAGAAATTTCATTCTATTGCATTAAAATTGGCCAGTTGTTGACCTGCCTGGTCACATTTAAGTCTATGTGTCTAGTAGCCTAGTCCTGTTTGTCTAATTAATTCTACTTATGTTAATTTTTGGAGCCCAAGCCCCCATAGTAATTCTGAAATTCCGGCGTCTATGGCTTGAACCATGCACCCGTCTATTATGAATACCAGGAGCTTGGAGCAATAGAGACAGTAAAGGTGTGTCCAATAAAAAAGCATTGTCAACACCTATATATAATTTATTTATCTTTTCAAATAAATATTTTCCCTTTTTCTTCTTCTATGTAAATCCTTTGAAAGATAAAATACAAATAATCATAATAACTTAAATAATTGTATGAATTTTAAACCAGTCTTTTAATCAATAATATATATATACCTATAAATAAATAAATTCAATTTTAGTTATATAATAATATATACATACAACAAGCGCTACATTTTTTATATAATAATTATTCAATAAAGCAACAAACAGATTATATAAACGTAATGAAAAAAAGTCCCTCTTCAAAAAAACATCCCTTTTGAGTATTTTTATTATTTACATTTTGCACCTTTAAAGCATTTATTCAGCTTTTGTATTTACAGAGAGAAATTATTTTTGCTCTAGCTAACAATTTTCAATAAAAATTTAACAACAAAAAGTTCGTTGAGCCGACGAAAAAAGCACACAACCCATTTAAGTACCAGGGCCATACCATATATATCACAATCCAAACCCCCTTGTACAAACAACCATTTTGAAATTTATATTATAAAAAGATTGTAGGTATTTACAATCTTGACAATTCTGTGCTTATTTCTAAATAATTCACATCTTTTTATCAAATATTGGACGAAGCACAATTTGTATAAAATACTACGTATCTTTTTTTTGTGAGCAAGCAACATAACCAGGGCTTATAAAAATCACCCTAAAATTATACCCTGTGTATATAAACAATTAATAATCATCCATATATGAGAGCATTTTTGCAATTTTTTTTTTCATCTACCTTACATCATTTAATTTATAATAAATCCAACTTACATTTTACTAGTGTAGGTATTTACATTATAACTTATTGAAATTCTGGCTCATTTTTACATCCAACATACTTAATAGAGTACCCTCCGTTTTGTACCATCGTCCCATTGTCGTCTACGTTGGCGTACTTTTTCTTCTGACCGGGTCCCATGGCCATAGATTTGGCCAACGCGCCTGCGTCCAAAGAAACACCAGCTTTCACTGTAACAGCTTCAGTACCAACTTCTTTTTCTGGCTACAGAACAATCAAAATCTAATTTTTATTTATTTGTACTTATTGTCTGTCGTTTTTAATCTGACACGTTCTAAACTCACATTCCTTTGCAGTATCAGATTAAAATTGACGTACTGTACACCAATTACTTACTATATGATGTCCGTCTTCATCCTTACTACTGTCCATAAGTAAAGGCTGAGTCGATTTCGAGTTGGGCATTATAAAGGAAGTTTCCCAGTGGTCATCAGGTATGAGTTTTTCTACCGATGAAGTACTTTCTATGGCGTCAGGGGTGCTGGGTACTGTATGAGTGGGTACCAAATAATCTGAAGGATTTGGTAGTACTTGTAGGCAATTATCGTTGGAGTCGCTTGGTCTTATGACTGTGGTATCTCTTTCGCTGGACACGTTTAGGTAGAACATTGGCAAAGGAGCAGTGGTTACGTCCGGGTCTTGACCGCAATATCCCAGTCGTTCTAGAATTGTCGCGAAAGTCGGTCGGTCTTCGGGTTGCGGGTGCCAACAGGACGCCATTATACCGTAGATTGGACCTGGGAACAATTTGGAATTTTACAGATTGATTTCTGAGAAAATTGGAAAAATGTTATGAAGAGTGTTAGTTATGATATCCACCTGAATACCTTTTGATGTATTTTGAATTTTTAAAATTTCGTCATTTTAGTAAAAAGAACTTTTTCTCTATTATAGTTAGAAAACTGAAACTTTCACTGAATTTTATCCCAATGAAGGGACTCCAACCCCTGAAAATTTCAGCTCATTTGCACTTATAGTTCCTGAGATAAAATTGCGTTAAGCAATTTGGGGTGATTTATCAATTTTTCAATTTTACTGAGTGCTTTTTTACTAACCATCGCCTAATCCAGGGATTACTAACTCCACCCACAGTGGATGCTTATAGGGTCAATTTCACAAACACAAGATACTGATAAGCCATAATATTTCTGTTTTATAATGTATGGTTCACCCAAAATCATTGGTCAAGCTTTAGATTATTTAACTCAAGCCGCAACTATTAATTTGATAACCAATGCAAGATTACCACCAATTGTGAAACTGGGCACAATCTTCAGTTTACTAAAGCTTAAACTTAACACCAGGTTAGTAAACCCCTAGGGTTACTCGCAGATTGAAAAAGGTCTTTAAAAGTATAAAGAAATTGCAATATCAAATAATCATTTCTAAGAAATAGCGGGAAAGGAATCTATGAGTGACACGGTTTTGCCAAGTTAAATGATTTTTGGTTGAAGATTTTGTGTACTATTAAAATGTATGACTTTAAAAATTAGTACCTGGACAATTTTCTGGTCGTTCCAGTCGTCCGCCTTGCACCACCAAATCCATAACCTCCTTGTTAGTGCACCCGGTATACGGCATAAAGCCCATCTTCATTATTTCCCACAACAGAATCCCGAAAGACCAAACATCAGTTTTTGAGCTAAAAATCCCTTCCAAAAAGGCTTCTGGGGGCATCCATTTGACAGGCAGCATGGCCTTGCCGTCTTTCCTGTAATAATCCGCCCTGTAAATGTCCCGGGACATTCCGAAATCTGCTATTTTGGCTACCCGGCCTGGGCCTTTGGTTGTTAACAGGCAATTTCTTGCCGCAATATCTCTGTGAATGAAGCGTTTTTCTTCCAAATACCTACAACCCCTTGCAATGTCGATTGCTATGAACAACAAGTCTTTCATTGTGATTGGACTTGGCCTATCTGGTTTAGGCCTGGATTCTCTCAAAAAGTTTTTCAAATCTCCTCCAGTTAGAAGTTCTAAAATAATAAACTTGGGGGTTTTATCAAAGCAAACTCCGATAAAATGCACAATGTTTGGATGATTGAATTTTGACATTATTAATGCCTCAGTCAAGAAATCATCTTCGGCTTGTTTGACAGTCATTTCCTGAAGAGTTTTAACTGCAACAGGCATTTCTACAGTGTCACAGGGACGTTGTCTGTAACAGCCTTGATAGACTTCACCAAAGGCACCTTGACCCAAAGCCCTATACAAAGTATTTAGAATAAATGCAAATCAAAAACCAAAAACAATTCTTACTTGACAAGTCTTAATTGTTCTCTAGGAATGTGTTGCAAATCGGCAATAGTAGTCACAATTCCTCCGAATTCATAATTAGGATTATATTGAGTTGTCACACTTCCTGAGGCTTGTCTCAGACGGCTCAGTTGTACGTCCGAAACTGGGCAACCTTTTCGCCTCAGAAGGCCTGAAACTTGTTGCTGGTAGCGGTTGTCTGAAAGAACTAAAAGAGTTGTAGTTTGTTTATGTAAAGGATGAAAAATACTTACATAGGACAAAGCACACCATGCCAAAAGCCACTGTTAAACAGAAGACTGTGACTATTAGACCTACGACAAACCAGGGTGGGTATTGCGAGTCCATGTTGACGGTGATTGCTAGAATAATAATTATTATTAATTGATGAATACAACCCTTGCGTTGGTTACACCATTTATAACTCGATAATGGCTGGACCAATTCTCATGATTTTTGTTTTGTTGGATTAGTTTTTGTCCAGATTAACATAATTTATATATAGAAGAAGAAACGATATTTGAAATATCGGTTAAAGAATTGATAATTATAGATGAGCCACAAAGTTATAAGAAAAAAATATCGCTTACGTATGCAAGATTTCTTATTGTCAGACAACCTCCAAGTTTTCGGACAAACGCAAGCGGTTTCGGAACGTCTCTCGTCCAAAGCCAAACACTGATAATCACAATCGCAACCATCCACCGAAGGTATAATGACCACGTAACCGGGTCCGGCATTGAACCCGGAATCCGCTTTGGCAAAAAAGGAATCAGTTTTAGTTAAGTCCACAAAAGAAGTGCCTCCATCTCCGTTGGTAGAATTTGCGTTGCCTCCCGCGTAACCACCTCCACCTAAAGCAAATTTATAATATTTTTGGTTGATTTGTTTCTATATACTGACCTGCTCCGTTTTTACAACCGCCACCGCCGCCGCCGAAACCGCCGTCCCCTTTGCCGTCCAACGAGGTGTAGCAAGCTTTGCCGCCGATGCCGCCCATCAGCAACGAGCCGCCCATCATGGTCGGTTGCGATACCATTCCTGGATAGGTTGTCCAACCGCCACCGGCTCCTGCAGTCCTAAATAATTGAATTTTGGATTATTTGTCTCTATTGAAAAAATGTCTGAGGTTCTCAGAATCAACTAAAGAACCAGGGGAAATCATTTCTGAGACACTCAAAATTTACTGAAAAATCAAGATTAGAGACTCATTCTGAAGTACTTGAAGACTGCGATTCTAAATTCACTTTTCCGCGATTGTAAACCCACTTTTCCGCAAATATTACCTCATTTTTCCGCGATTCTTATCTCACTTTTTCACGAATTCACACGCTCACTTTTTTTGAAATTTTTGACTCATTTTTTTTCGCGATTTTTGACCCACTTTCTTGCAATTTTGTTTTCACTTTTTTGCGATTTTTGGCTCTTTTTTTTTGACTCTCTTTTCTGCGAATTTGTCCTTACTTTTTTGCGATTTCAGCCTCACTTTTTTGCGATTTTACCCTCACTGCTCGGCGATTATAAACTTATTTTTCCGCTATTTCATCCTCATTTTTCCGCGATTGTTTCCCTACTTTCCGCGATTTTATCTTCACTTTTCCGCAAATTTAACCTGACTTTTTTTGTAATTTTTGAATAATTTTTTTTTGCAATTTTTGACTCATTTTTATCTATCTATACTTTTTCGCGATTGTAAACCCACTTTTCTGGAAATATTATCTCACTTTTCCGCGATTCTTGTCTCACTTTTTTTTGCGATGTTATGCTCACTTTTCCGCGATTCCTATTTCATTCTCCATGATTTCATCCTGACTTTTCGTGACTTTATCCTCATTTTTCCGTGAGTCTCATCTTACTTTTCCGCGAGTTTAAACTCATCTTTTTGAAATTTTTGACTCATATTTTTTTTGCGATTGTATCATCACTTTCCGCCAGTTTATCCTCATTTTTCCTCATTTCAAAATTACGAGAATAACGATAATTTTTGAAAAGTTACGAAAAATTACGGGAATTACGTTAAAGTACGTAAAATATGAAAAATTTTAAGAGTTGCAAACATTTACGAGAATTACGGAACATTTACGAGAATCGCGGAATAACAAAAAATTGCGGGAATTACAAAAATTATTTGAATTGCCAAATATTACACGAAACACGAAAGAATAACGAAGTTACTCCAAAATTACGTCAATTATTTAAATTTTATTAATTGTTGAAGAATTTACAAAAACTAACAAGACAAATTACGAGAATTACGAAAAATAATG